ATTTAAAACCTATTTCATCTCACCTCACAACGTCTGGACCTACACTGGAATCGGGTTCCTGACTGCACAGCGTCTTGTCACTCCTAAAGCTGTAGCCACATGATATCACTGAATGCTGATTAAAGCGGGGTTTAACCACCTACATTCGCTCCAATACATCCACCTCCCCGTGTTTAGTCTATGGCATACAGGGGCGGTGGGGTAGCCTAGTGGTTAAAGCATACGCTCGTCACGCCGGAGATCGGGGTTCGATTCCCCATATTGGTACAATGTGTGAAGTCCATTTCTGATGTCCATCGCGTGATATTGGTGGAATATTACTCAAACCGACGTAAACCATATTCACTCACTACCTCTAGGGAAAACATGCAATTTTGAGATTTTGCCTATACAATCTAAAAGTATTATCATATTCCAAGATTGTCAAAAACATCCTCATAGGTTGGCCTCGACATAGTTTTTTGTAGCTGACTTTTACTCGGTGGGATCCCCGCTAACCCGTCACGTCTGCTGCCAATTGACAGCGGACGGGGATGGGGTGTTTTCCCTCTCTGTCCGGTTTCGGCGGGTGTTGAGTCCATTGACAGATAGCGTGTCGGTTAATGAGTGACATGTTTTTGTTTGTTTTGTTTGTTGTTTAACGCCACACTCAGAGCAATATTACAGCTATATGACGGCGGTCTGTAAATAATCGAGTCTGGACCAGACAAACCAGTGATTGACATTATGAGCATCGATCCACGCAACTGGAATACGATGACATGCATCAACAAAGTCAGCGAGTCTGACCAACCGATCCCGTTAGTCGCCTTTTACGGCAAGCATGGGTTGCTGAAGACCTGTTCTACCCCGGATCTTTAAGGGTCGAGTTACCTGTGAAAACGTTCACTAACGTACACCCTTAAGGGTGGTGGGGGTCGGGGTGGTGGTGGGGCTGGTGTGTGTGTTGTGTTATTGTTATAAGCATTTCATGTAAATAGGAATCACTGCGTGTGTCTCATTTATATTACTGTACTATTTGTTAAATTTCTCACAGCATCAGTTGACTTGCACCCTTTGATGATCTCACCCCATCGATTCAGCGATTTGTGAGTTAATTTAACTCAGTCGACATGGAGCCTGCGAACCAGCGGTTAAAATGCAAACTTTAATATGCAAATCAGTAATTAAAATACGACATCGATATGTGAACCAGAGATTAAAATACGACATCGACATGTGAACCAGAGATTAAAATACGACATCGACATGTGAACCAGAGATTAAAATACGACATCGACATGTGAACCAGTAATTAAAATACGACATCGACATGTGAACCAGTAATTAAAATACGACATCGACATGTGAACCAGTAATTAAAATGTGAACCAGTAATTAAAATACGACATCGACATGTGAACCAGTAATTAAAATACGACATCGACATGTGAACCAGAGATTAAAATACGACATCGACATGTGAACCAGAGATTAAAATACGACATCGACATGTGAACCAGAGATTAAAATACGACATCGACATGTGAACCAGTAATTAAAATACGACATCGACATGTGAACCAGAGATTAAAATACGACATCGACATGTGAACCAGAGATTAAAATACGACATCGACATGTGAACCAGTAATTAAAATACGACATCGACATGTGAACCAGAGATTAAAATACGACATCGACATGTGAACCAGAGATTAAAATACGACATCGACATGTGAACCAGTAATTAAAATACGACATCGACATGTGAACCAGTAATTAAAATACGACATCGACATGTGAACCAGAGATTAAAATACGACATGAACATGTGAACCAGAGATTAAAATACGACATCGACATGTGAACCAGTAATTAAAATACGACATCGACATGTGATCCAGAGATTAAAATACGACATGGACATGTGAACCAGAGATTAAAATACGACATCGACATGTGAACCAGTAATTAAAATACGACATCGACATGTGAACCAGTAATTAAAATACGACATCGACATGTGAACCAGTAATTAAAATACCACATCGACATGTGAACCAGAGATTAAAATACCTCATCGACATGTGAACCAAAGACTGAAATATATCGACACGTGAACAAGAGATTGAAATACAACATGGGCATGTGAACAAGTGATTGAAATACGACATCGGCATGAAAACCAGAGATTAAAATACAAAATCGGCATGTGAACCAGAGATTGAAATACAAAATCGGCATGTGAACCAGAGATTGAAATACAAAATCGGCATGTGAACCAGTGATTGAAATACGACATGGGCATGTAAACCAGAGAATACCCGCGAAGATCCGGGGTAGAATAGGTCTTCAGCAACCCTTGCGTGCCATAAAAGGCGACTATTCTTGCCGTAAGAGGCGACTAACGGGATCGGGGGGTAAGGCTCGTTGGCTTGGTTGATGATGTCAATCACTGGATTGTCTGGTTCAGAATCGATTATGTACAGGCCGGCGTCGTATAGCTGGAACATTGCCGAGTACGCCATTAAACAACAAACAAACAAACACATTGAAATACGACATCGACATGTAAACCAGAGATTGGAATCAAGGCATCGATCAGTGCTACAGCTGGACACGGGGTCATAAGTTCAGCAAAGTCCAAGCTCGGGAGTTAGAAATCATTCATGTGATGGGCGTTTAACAGTATAAGTAAAGGACTCGTTGGCATCCCATGGCAACAGGGACGTATTGCATCACGCTTGGAGTGAGTGAGTGAGTTGGGTTTAACGCCGCTTTTAACAGTATTCCAGTCATATCACGGCGTGTCAGCTTAATGTGGGAGGAAAGCCCGAAATGATGCAGTTCTCAGACGTTTACCACTTCGGTGAAACCCAAGAGCACGGGTATGGTGCTGACAAACCCAGAAACATAATCGAAGCGAACCGGGATTCGAACCCACAAGAATATGTTTCTGGCGTGCCCAAGGGACGCTTGGAAGTGCTGCTCAACCAGATCAGTGGGTACACTGTGCGACAAGGTTGGGGGCCTTTACTCATGCTATTAACCACTGTTTGTTTCTAGTTCAGAAATCCTATGGACATGGTCAATACGTTGGTCTTAAGTACCTCATGTTTGTCGTAAATGCTATTTGAAATTTGGGATCTGGAGGTGACCCGATCAATGCTTATGCTTTGTCTGGGCAATATGCGAATACTTGAGGACACTGGTGATATAGCTGGCTTTTTGCTGACAGGCGGCCCTGGTGTAGACATAATTTTCAGAATAGGCAATGATGGTTCAGAATCGCCAATCATGTTTCAGACGCCAATCATGTTTCAGACTAGTCAATCACGATGTTTCAGACTAGTCTATCACGGTGTTTCAGGACAGTCAATCACGGTGTGTCAGACTTGTCTATCACGATGTTTCAGAATCGCCAATCATGTTTCAGACGCCAATCATGTTTCAGACTAGTCAATCACGATGTTTCAGACTAGTCTATCACGGTGTTTCAGGACAGTCAATCACGGTGTGTCAGACTTGTCTATCACGATGTTTCAGACTAGTCAATCACGATGTTTCAGACTAGTCTATCACGGTGTTTTAGAATAGTCAGTCACGGTGTGTCAGACTTGTCTATCACGATGTTTCAGACTAGTCAATCACGATGTTTCAGAACAGTCAATCACGGTGTTTCAGAATTGTCAGTCACAATGTTTCATACTAGTCTATCACGATGTTTAAGACTAGTTAATCACGATGTTTCAGAACAATTAATCACGCTTTTTCAGACTAGTCTATCACGATGTTTCAGACTAGTCTATCACGGTATTTCAGACTTGTCAATTACGGTGTGTCAGACTAGTCAATCACGATGTTTTAGACTAGTCAATTACGGTGTGTCAGACTAGTCAATCACGATGTTTCAGATAATTACGGTGTTTCAGACTAGCCAGTCACGATGTTTCAGAATAGTCAATCACGATGTTTCAGACTAGTCAATTACGGTGTGTCAGAATAGTCAATCACGATGTTTCAGACTAGTCAATTACGGTGTTTCAGACTAATCAATCACGATGTTTCAGAATAGTCAGTCACGATGTTTCAGAACAGTCAATCACGATGTTTCAGACTAGTCAATCACGATGTTTCAGACTAGTCAATTACGGTGTTTCAGACTAGTCAATCACGATGTTTCAGACTAGTCAATTACGGTGTTTCAGACTAGTCAATCACGATGTTTCAGAACAGTCAATCACGATGTTTCAGACTAGTCAATCACGATGTTTCAGAACAGTCAATCACGGTGTTTCAGACTAGCCGATGATGATTTTTCCTCCCCACGCAGACCAGCAAGACCTGCTCATCCAAACACTCGAAACTAACCGTCACCCTTACTTTTATCCCCACACTTCAAGACGCCAATGCGATGATAGGAAATCTATCCACACAAACGCCTATCAGTAACACCAGCCTCCCAGAGGGGGAACCTGTGCTCCTTGTCATCTCCGATCTCCTTCTCCAAGCATCGTTGTCAGGCTCACATCGATTCCATTAAGCCTCCCACAAATGCCCCAAGAAAATAATACCCCAAATCATCACCCGTTTGTCGCGTTGTCAGCTACTTCGTGTCGCTTCTGACAATATCACTTTTGAGCCCTGATAACCCGAAGATGCACCAAGGAAGCACCCTCCTCTCTTCCCCATCCCCGTTATCAGTGTCCATATTCTCCGAAAGCAAACCACTCACTATTCTGATAATGACCACTATTACGAAATTACCCGCTTCGTCCCAATTCCGGTCAATTTGCATGGACAGCTTTGATTGGCCAGAGCCACGGGACAGAGCGGCTGAAAAGCAACGCAAGCCTAATTGGTTCTACCATCTGCCATCCTTTACCGAGAATTAACAGCGTGTTGATTTTGTCGATGGATAAACCAGCCAGTGAATTTAGAGAGATCGATGACTCTGGATGTGTAGGACGCGGAGCTTCAGGTGTGCTGCCAGAGCATATAGTTACTGAGAGGATAATCTCTTACTGTCGGGGGACTCAAATCTCCGGCCCATAGTGAACGCAGGTGCTCGCTCGGCGCCCGGTTTCTGGAATTTCTCGACGCTGTACTGATTTGGAGCTGGTCCACCACCTGTAACAAAGTGAAGGTAAGTTAGGAACTTCATCGATGTATCTAAGCATGTAATGGATTAGTTTTGTAATGTACCTGATGGTAGTTTAGAATGAGGTAGGTCTCACGCGATTTGAAAATGTGACGAGAGACACTGGGATGTTTGAATGAAGTGCTGTACCGAACTACCAAACCGTTAGCCGACCGGTCTGGGTGTATGTATATAAGTTTTTAAGAAGTTTAATACTGCCAGTTTTTTCATTGATTGTTAGGAAGTATTACTCAAAGTTTCAAAAAAAATAATTTATTTTAAAGAGTTATTCAACATGGGAGCTTTGTACAGCTTCACTTCCCCGATACTTGAAACATATTGTACACTAAACTACGGTTATAACGAACTCAAAGGGACCACTAATTTTAGTTCGTTATAACCGTAGTTCGTTATAAGCATATATACAGCATAACGTCAGCAAATAGTCGGGACAAAAAAGTAGGTTCGTTATATCCGTCAGTTCGTTATAAGCGTGTTCGTTATAAACATAGTTTACTGTATTGACAAACGTGATTATATAACTGAGCACACAAAAGCTTAACCCCGTGTGGTTTGTTGAAAATTCATCACTAAAACTTTATCGAATAACAACACTAAAGTGGTCATTTCAAGATAAATAAAAAACAAGAATCCGTCAGTTTCCATCTACTGGTAGAATATACCGTTTTAAACCCTCAATGTTAACTTTTGATTTTATTTTACAAACTTTAACCGGATACGCGTGGAATCTTGGAATATTATAATAATCACTTTATCCCAAGAATACAGAATCCACGGATGGTCGGCAGAATTAGTGATTAAAAACAAACACTCCCCTTTGAAAAAATTGACATAAGCGTTCGGTGCATTACTTTCTAAAGCGCCACTCAACATTTATGTAACCACTTGGAGGAAGACACGACCCCACTCATGTGTTCCGCATCACCCCCCTCGCTGTTGTAATCACCACTAAAGATAGAAAATTAAATCTGTTCCGACGGCGGAAACAATTTAAGTCAATTCCAACGGTTGTAAAAGACTACAAAAATATCAAAGACGTGGACTCGAAGCGGGAGAGGCATACGTTATGCCGTGAACACAATCATCGTTCCTGAAAGAACAAGCACGATTGCCGTAAAAAGCGAAACTGGAACCGAAAATGGTAACTTGTGGTTGATGCGAAACAGGAGCGCCGCTCCCTGTCGTACACCACAGCCCTGGATGCGCCATGGGGTCGTGTTTAATCTGTGGGCCTTAATTACGACGGTAGTTTGTTAACATAAACATAAACAGCCACGCTCCTCTTCATCAGCGTGTGTTATCACCGATGCTTTTAATCACTCTAATTAGAGAAGCATGCGGGTCATTAAGTCACGATGCGCATCTTATGACGTACGCTCCATTAACCGATGAAAGTATTATTAGCCGTCATCACCTTGTTATTTATAAGGAAACTAAATGGCAATAGAATAATGATCAAACTGTTTGATGCTTTCTTAAGCAGATTCCGAGCCACTTGTTTTACCTTGTAAAACATAGATTGTTCATGATTATGACATGATTATCACTATCATTATGATTATGATTATCACTATCATATTGCTGGCAAGAGTTAAGTCCCAAATTTTGTCTTTGAATTGAGACATCCAATTTACGTTCCCTTTTCATTAAACGTTTATTGAGACTGTTTATGAAGCTTTGGCTATTTATTATGATGAACATGATTATAAAAACGCCGTCAAAGTCGAATTACAAAAATTATACGCTTTTGTAAGAAGATACTTATTACCTATGAAAGGAAGGCTGTTGAGGTTGTCTAACTCATCGTAGCTAAGAAACGGTTTTGAGTTTCAAATATCTACATGTCTAAAAGTCCAGGCTTAATGGCATGTTTGCATTAATAAATAGCTTAAGTGAAACTAAAAATGATATGTGACGGGCTTGGGGCAATCAAGTCTAGAAGTGGTATTTTGATTACTAATATTTATGTAGTAGTGTCCTATCCATCCCCGATCGATGAAGATTCCGGGGTAGAATAGGCCTTCATCAACCCATGTTTGCCGTAAGAGGTGACTATGCTTGTACTAACAGGCGACTAACGGGATCGGGTGGTCAGGCTCGCTGACTTGGTTGATGCATGTCATCGTATTCCAATTGTGTGGATCGCGTGGACGTCAATCCATGGATTGTTTGGTTCAGACTCGATTATTTACAGAATGCCGTCATATAGCTGAAATATATTGCTGAGTGCGTCGTTAAACGACAAACAGACAGACAGACAATCAATCACCGGGGTTATGTTCAGATATATTTTGATAAGCAAGTTTTCCAAACAACAACAGACCAACAACAACAACAACAACAACAACAACAACAACAACAACAGACCAAAGTCCCTAATCCCACCAGTCTACAGCTAACAAACACTGTTTAAACGACCTTCTGCTTGGTAGACGAAATGTTACTCAGTTCGCTTGTCGCGCATTAAAGTCGGGTTTAAATCTCACAGGCTACAAGTCTACTTCTGATTTCTTGAGGCGGCACGGGTGGCCCAGTCGTCTAAGGCGCCGCGATTCGCAGCGCAGAGTTGCGTCCCTTGGGCACGCCAGAAACCTATGATTGTGGTTCGAATCCCGGTTCGCCCCAATTATGTTTCTAGGTTTGTCAGCACCATACCCGTGCTCGTGGGTTTTCACCGAAGTGGTAAACGTCTGAGACCTGCATCACTTCGAGCTTTCCTCCCACATTAAGCTGACACGCCGTGATATGACTGGAATACTGTTAAAAGCGGCGTTAAACCCAACTCACTCACGCACTCTGATTTCTTGACGTCATATGGCTTCAGTGCAGCTTGGAGCATTTCAAAACCTTACTCACCCATGCGATTATACTTATACAAAAAATGAAAATAAAAATAATCCGAACATATTACACTAGCCTTTCAGTGCCCATAAACATGTATGATCTGATTATCAGTGAAACCCGTTGATCCAGGCAGTACCCTTCACGGTGTAAATGTACGGATTAACACATCTCCGGATAATCGAATCATGGGATTTTGCATAATGTACCCATACTGATAGATATTCGTCCCGGAGGAGATTCCGACTAAGTCCGGTTCCCTGTACCTCGAAAACAGCACATCTTGTAGTGGGTGAGTTTGATTTAACTCCGCTTTGTAAGGTATTCCAGTTATATCACAGCGCGTCAGCTGCAGGATGCTAGTCGTTGACGTTTACCATTTTGGTGAAATCCTCAAGCATGGGTATGGTACTGACAAACCTAGGAACATGACAATGGCGAATCTGGCATTCGAACCCATGGTCATAGGGTTCTGGCACGTCTAAGGGACGTAACTCGGCGCAGCAGATCGCGGCGCCTTAAACAACTAGCCTACCCTTCTTGTCCATCCAAATCTATAAATTATTGCAAGGTGATTTAAACACATGCAATAAAGATATTCAAAGTTTTATTGCTTAGACGAATAATATCAAACTAAATGCAATTAATAACATATTTCAGGAATAGTAATTTAAAACCAGTCGAAAGATTTAAGATTATTTTTCAAACTCCGAAGGCTTATGAGAAGCGTTTGTTCATTGGCTGGGGTATGGGTAACCAAATACCTAGAATATCACGTGATCTGTTTTCTAGCCTGGTTAATGTTTAACTGTCTTCCCAGCGTAGAGTGACCTGTTGACACGGCAACACCGAGCCACCAGCTGTGGCCGGCTGATCGCAACAATCGCTACACCGCCATCTGGTGGTGTGAAGAAGCGCAGACGGACAAACATCGTGCTTTGACATCACAAATAAACAAAAGTCATGTTGTTGTATAGATCACATTCATTATGTCTGTGGCATATACAGTGTACTACGGGTATAACGAATTCAAAAGGGCTGCTAATTTTAGTTCGTTATAACCGAAATTCGTTATAAGCATATTTTCAGCACATATACAGCAAATGGCCGGGACATAAATAAAACCCAATTCGTTTTATTCCTCAGTTCGTTATAAGCGTGTTCGTCATAAACGTAGTTTACTGTACATGGACCGCCTAAGTCAGACCGCCGTCTTAGAGCTGGAATATATATAGCGGCCTGGATCGTTGCTCATTATATCAATCACTGGTTTGTCTGGGGTAGTTTCGATCAACAAACAAAAAATCATAACCTAAGATTATGCCATCGTGATTAAATAATGTCGTCATCAAACAGAAACAGAAACATAAGGTTATGGTTCTTTCTTGTAAACGAGTGTAACTTGATTAGCGACCGCCTACGTGGTCTAGTGGGTACAGCGTCTGCCCTTAGAGCGGAAGGCTGGTGGTGATTCGATCTCCTGGCCGCGTTATACAAAAAGACGTGAAAAATGGTACTTCTTGTTATCCTGCTTGGCGCTCGGAACTAAGGGGATATAAGACTGGTCGGTATGGCGGGTGATCGGGTAGCCTAGTGGTTAACGCGTTCGCTCGTCACGCCCAAGACCCGGGTTCGAATCCCGACATGGGTACACTGTGTGAAGCCCATTTCTGGTGTCCCCCGCCGTGATATTGCTGGAATATTGCTAAAAGCGGCGTAAAACCACACTCACTCACTCAGAATGGTATGGCACAACAAAACCGCCATCAGTTTGGACATGCACGCACGGGTCGCTATTTACGTTCATTCATCCTGAACGCGACGTTATAAACCATCTTCAAGGTTCATTATGCAGGTTTAAAACGACGTTCTGACACAATACATGGTATCTCACATTACATTAAAATACTAGCTTCTGATTGGTTAAGGAGTGGTCATATATATTTCATGTAGCCTGCTGAGAAATCAATCGGAACACACCTTAGATAATGTGCTTATCTGTATACGTATCGTTGAGCTGAAATGAAGCGATGTTTATCCGAATGCATTCGGTAAAGGGAAGTAACTCGGTTTGTTGTCTGAAGCTGTCAAAATGACTGAATCAAAGCATTTTACTCAGTGAAGAGGGGGGAAGGCAATCATTG